GCTGTCTTACTTATGCTATCATTACTAGTTTCACCATTATTTTTATTTTGCTTTTCACCTTTTTTGATATTCCGAATGGATTTTATAGGATAGTTATTCAATACCAACGCTTCTTCTATCTGTTTCATCTCATCATTTAGGGCATTTTTTGTACTGCTAATGCTATTGCTCCGTTCGTTAGACACTTAACTAAGCCAAGCTTTACAGACAACGTATGAGATGAATTAAATTCTAAGCATCTATTAGAATGCGTTGGCTTTTTATAAACGCTGTTATGCTGTTAACCTTCTTCTGTTCTTTTTATTTTATAATCCAACATAGTAGATTCTCCTTTTTCATTTTCTGATTCAATTGTGAATTGTATTTTCTTCCCTTCGCTATTATACTTTCCTTTATCAATCCTTTTTCCTTATTACTATTATTGTTTCCTTTAATTCCGAGAGGAACATAGGGCTTCAGCCGTGCGTCTCCATTGCGTTTTGTTCTCGGCTAGAATATTCACCTGGCTCCATGTCTGCCCACACGTTTTCATCTTCTCTTCACATGACCTCCTCCAAGTCACCCTTGCACTGATGACCAACTCGCCGCTTCCCTTTCGGGTTCCACTCGAGCAATGGCTTGTCTAGTGATGTCACTTGATGGTTTCCTCAGAGAATGGCCAGCCAATCCATCTCCATTTCTTCCTGCCTATTTGTTTCACAATCGGTTCCTGGTTGGTCCGTTCCCAAAGATCCCTGTTGCTGATCTTCTCTGGCAGACCACCTGATCTTGAGAAGTATTGAGCGAAGACAACTGTTAATGAAGGTCTGTAGTTTGTTTGAGATGCTCTTTATGATGCGCAGTGCAAGTCTCTGATCCGTATAGTGAGTAGCACTGACTTCACATTGAAGTTGAAAATCTGGATCTTATTTTTGATGTTGTTGACCTCCACACAGACTTGAGAGTAGTGAAAGCTTGTCTTGCTTTTCCGATTCTTGCTTTGATATCCTCGTCAGTTCCATGCGCCTGTAGTTGAAACGATGCTTCCCAGGTAGACAAAGGAGGTTGTTTCTTTCAGGTTCCTCCTATTTATGCTGATTGTTGTCAGTTGTTGTTGTTGCTGTTGGTGGTGTTGCCCAGGAATTTTCATCACCTCTGTCTTCTCTGTGTTCACCTGAAGTCCTATCTTTGATGCTTCTTCTGCCAACTTGTTGCTTTTCGTTTGCATGTCTTCCAGTTTGTGGGAAATCAGACATATATCATCGGCGAAGTCCAGATCCTCCAAGTTGGTTTTTTGTGTGGGTCCATTTTATGCCTGTTTCCTCATTTCCCACTGTTGGTCGCATTATCCAGTCTACTGCCATCAAGAAAATCATTGGCGATAGTAGGCAGCCAGCTTGTCTTACTCCTGTCCTCACTTCGAAGGATTCCGTAAGGTTCCCTTTGTGGATTACTTGGCATGCAGCATTGTTGTACAACTGTTGGATGAGATGTATAATTGTCGATGGCACCCCATAGTAGCGAAGTAGTTTCCAAATCACCTCTCGATTGACGCTGCACTATCGGAGGCCTTTTCAAAGTCGATGAAGTTGTGATAGAGAGGTGACTGCCATTCCAAGCTTTGTTCAATGATGATCCGTAATGTGGCGACCTGATCAATGCATGACTTGTTTCTCCTGAATCCAGCCTGTTCCAGTCGAAGTTTTACATCCAGGTTGGCGTGTTTGATTCTCTCCAGGATGATGCAGCTTAGTATTTTGCTTGAGATGGACGGGAGCAGAATTCCGCGCCAGTTCTTGCATTGACTTAGGTCTCCTTTCTTTGGTAGTTTGAATAAGTATCCTTTCTTCCAATCCTCGGGTACTTTGCCTTCTTTCCAAACCTTCTCCAGTAGTGGCGTCATCAAGTCCGCTGTTGTCTCTGGGTCCGTTTTCAATGCTTCTGCTTGGATTCCATCTGGTCCTGCTGCTTTTCCACATTTTAGCATCTTGATTGCCTTCAGGACTTCTGATTTCGTTATTATTATTTGTCGCTTCAGCTTGGAGTGTAACTTGGGACCTGAATAGCGCGTCTCTATCCAATTGCATTCACTGTCATTATTTTCGACTGACTGATTCCGCGACTGCCAATATGACTTCATCATCAACACTTCTCGTGATATCCATTGGGTTCAGTTTGAAAGCCGGACTGATGTGTAATTTCACTAAAATGTCTCATCTACATATGTGCACGCCATCTCCGTTTCTTTCTGCACATTTCTGGAGTGATAGATCTTTGGTTGGTTGGCTTGTTGGTTCACTGAACTCACAGAGTTCGGTATTACATGTTTATTGTTCCTGACAGGCCGGCCACATATGATCGTCAGTATTGAGCAAAGTTAGTCGGGGGGGAGATGTTGATAAAAGTTTGTAGTAACCTGTCGGAAATTCCTTTGGTTACTCGCGTCGTCTCTAAACCATATAGAAACCCTGAGTTGACATCAGTGTCAGAAATAAAATCAACTAGGATAGGTGAAGAGGTTGAACCAGTGGAGGAATTCAATGCTGAACAAATAATACAGTGATTCTATGCAGTCAATTGGGTGGAATTACACTTGATTTCATTATTTGCATTCCAAATGGATAAAAGTCTTTGAACCTTGAATTATCGGTCACTATAATTATTTATTATTGTTCCCTTGGATTCCTAGTGGAACATAGGGCTTCAATTGCACGTCTCCACTTGCTTCTGTTTTCTGCTGTACTTTTCACTTGCATCCATGTTAGTCCATACTGTTTCAGTTCCTCTTCACACGATCTCCTCCATGTCACCCTTCGACGTCCCACTCGCCGTTTCCCTTTCGAATTTCACTCGAGCATTGGCCTGACGCGCGATGTCACCCAGCGACCTCCTCAGCGAGTGAGTGTCCAATCCATCTCCACTTTCTCCTGCATATTTGTTGGGCGATTGCTTCTTGTTTTGCTTCTTCCCATGGTTTCTTGTTGGTTCTTGTTCTTTCCGGCCATCTGATCTTCAGTATAGAGCGAAGACAGTTGTTGATAAAGGTCTGCAACAGGCTGTTGAAAATATTATTTGTGACCCGCCAAGTTTCTGATCCATTCGTATAGAAGAACTGACTGACTTGACGTTTGTATTGAAAATCCGAATTTTGTTATTGAGGCTGAGTGACGAAGATTTCCAGATTGGTTTCAGGTTGATGAATGTGTTTCTCACCTTCCCGGTTCTCGATTTGATATCCTCGTCCGTTCCACTTGGCTGTAGTTGAGACAATGCTCCCTAGATAAGTGAGTGAATGAAGTAACCTCTTTCAAATCCCTCCGGTTGATGGTGATTGGCGCTGGATGTTGCTGTTGTTGTTGGTTAGTTATTTTCATTACCTCCGTCTTGTCCATGTTCACCTGGAGTCCTGTTTTCTCTGGCTGCTTCTTCGACCAGTTTGTCGGTTTTCGCTTGTAAGTCTTCGATTTTGTGTGACATCAAACATTAATCTTCCGCGAAATCCAGGTCTTCTGGATTATTCACGTTGGTCCAGGATATCCGTGTTTTCTCGTTTCGGTAACTATAATGTTGTTTTTATCGATTGACAGATTCAACTTCGCGTCGAACCTTTCCCAGCTCTTGAGTATACTGAAAATTAGTAAACCAGGCGAGGGTTAGAAGTGCATCAACCCAGAATTTTACTGTAGCTGGTAAGAATACTACGAATTAGTCATCAATGAAATATAACTAGTATTAACTAAAAATAAAAGTTTTCGTGGTAGTAAATAAAAACCTCCAGATATTCTATTTCGTATTAATTATGTCATAGGTTTGATCACCGACTGATCTCAGTCATAGAACCATTGGAAAACCCTCAACGAGTACTAGATAGCTTTTTCCCCTAGTCTCGGACTCTTCAGGTCAGAATCAAAGACCTTTCACTTACAAGATGACCTCGTAGACCACTCAGTCGCTGTGACCGGACTAAATGCCCCATGAATTCTAGCTTCTGTCAAACCACAATACATATAGCATAACTTCCAGCCAATGTCGTAAGCGAGTAATCTATCGCTTAACTGACTCGGTAAACAGCACACGTCACTATCTCACACTAGGACATCAGGTGACTTCTTGTATAGAAGCGGTCACTACTGAGCATCGGATTAATTATTAAGTGTCGACTTCCAGGGATTTCACTGGTTACAAGTTTCATCAGGAGTTGACATCATTTAGAGGAGAATTCGAAAACCCGGTCTACGAGCTCGTCTTGTAACCAGAAGTTTCTGAGTTTGAACCCCGGTAGGATTTTTTTAATGAGGAGTCCCGAACTAAGACAAAACAGATATCCAGTATTCACTCGGGATTTCCAACGTTTGTCTGACTGCTGTCAACTCGCGACCAAAACTGGAACCAATCAGATCACTGCAAAGCAACACTTGGCAAGTAATAGTGTTTTCAAGTATTGGTTCTGTGGGGAATTTCGTTTGATTGGTTGAAGGACTCCATCACCAGCTGACATCAATTAGAGAACCATTGGAAAACCACCATGAAGTACTAGACATCTATTCCGTCGGCCCAGTTTGTAACTCTTCAGCGGTACGGACCCACTGGTCGAAGTTTGAACCAAGGACCATCTAGTTACAAGGCGAGTGCGTAAGCCATTCAGCAGCCACTGGGAACCGACCTAATGGCCAGCCCATGAATTCTGAATTCTGTCAATCTATGACATAGCACGACCACTTCGAAATGCCTAACCTTCAACCTGCTGTACCCTACCGGTCACGGCTTCCCACCAGAACCACAGGTTAAGTTACTGAATATGGCCAGGACTAAACTGCTGTCCATGAATCCCAGTGGGTTTTCCAATGGTTCTCTAAATGATATCAGCTCATGATGGAATCCTCCAACCAAGTAATAATGTTGTCTGACAAAAAGTTTTTCGATTTATTGTCGAAAAGAAATAACGCTAAGCAGAATAATGTTCAACTTTTCGGGGAAAGAAATCAAACAGTGTTCGCAGTGGAATGCACAAATTAACTTACATGAGGCATAAGCAAGTGAAACAAATGCGGATCCCGAATTATTTAAGTTATGACTTAAATTTTGATAATGTTGTTGTTGCTGTTGTTGATGCTGTTGATGTTGTTGTCGTGAGGCGAGGGCGGCTGCAGCAATTGTCGCCGCAGCTGTAGCTGCTGAGTCGACTTCACTGGACAGAGCTAAAGTAAAATAGGAAGAAACAATATTGAGTTGAGATTGATCAACAATGACTGCTTTCATCACGTGTGGATGACAATTTTTGAAAACTTTATATGAAGTGAATTGACCTATGAAACCTATCTATTCGTCTGAAAGGACACTACAATAGTAATTCAGAAGGCATTATTCCGAAACCTTTAACGAAATAATGGAGAATATTTGAAGCTTAGGTGGGTAGTTTTGATTTAGTTCTGTTCTCTGAGCCAGTTGATTTAATCACGAAGCTTTCGTTGTCCTTCTGGGTAACATTTTCAGCGCAACTTATTTGAATTCTGCATGACATCAGTCAGTGTTAATGGGAGAAATCTGAGAGAAGCAATCTCCTTCACCTACCTACCTACCTACCTACCTGGGAGGCATCGTTTCAACTACAGGTGGGCGGAACTGATGAGGACATCAAAGCAAGGATTGGGAAAGCAAGGCAAGCTTCCATTTTTCCCAAGTCTATGTGGAGGTCAACACTCAGAACAAGTCATGAAAAATAAGATGCGGATTTTCAACTCCAATGTGAAGTCAGCGCTACTTACTGTACGGATCAAGAACTTGGCCAGTGCGTCATTAAGAGCACTTCGAACAAAGTACAGACCTTCATCAATAACTGTCTTCACTCAATACTTCGCTCAAGATCAGATGGCCAGCCAGAGAAGATCAGCAAAAGGGATCTCTGGGAGCGGACCAACCAGGAACCGATTGTGCAAAAAATATGCATAAAGAAGTGGAGGCAGATTGGCCACACTCTGAGAAAACAAATCGTCAAGTGACATCACATGCCAGGAAATTGCTCGAGTGGAACCCGAATGGGGAGCGGCGAGTTAATCATCAGTCCTAGGGTGACATGGAGGATGTCGTTTTGGGAGGAAGAGATGAAAGCATGTGGGCAGACGTGGAGCCAGATGAAAACGTTGACGGAGGACCAAACGCAATAACGACGTACGGCCGAGGCCCTATGTTCCTCTAAGAACTAAAAGAAACAATAATAATATTATAATCAATGAAATAATTGTATCTTATGACAACCATCGTCATGACTGTATATTAATTTGCACCTTTATTAGTCATTTTTATTGATACGACTTATTCTTCATAAGTTGATAAATTTGGTCAATATGCATATGTTCGTTTAATCTCTGGTTCACCTGAGTAATACAAGGCTTCTAGAAATTTACTCAGTGCATTCTTGGTGTTTTCTCTGCTTGAAATATCTACATTTTCTCAATGAAACTGGTGTTCATAACTGTCTACATGTATCGATATTAAAGGATACATATCGTGCCTTTTCAGAGCTAATTTACATTCTTGGATTCAGACTCGAAGGCGATGCCCGCTATGACCGATGTAGTGTTAGCTCTACGACAGAAAATACAGAAAATCAACTTACACAGATCAAATACTCAACTGTAACAGCAATAACCAAATCACTCCCAAGAGAAACTGTATGTAGACATTGTTTAAAAGAGTCACAACACACACTGTAGCATTTCGGTGTTGAAGGCAATCGAAGAGAAATACCCACTAACAGTCTTCAAAAAGAATGAGTACTCACACAGTTCATTGAAAAGTGTCTAAACTCAAGTCGTATTACTAACAAGAAACCATCATCAAAGACCACAGAAAAATTCGCTCTACCATATATCAAGAATTTCTCCGAAATAACGTATAGAATACTAAGACCGTTTGTTTGATTGAGACTAGCAGTAAAGTACAGGGAGCGCAATTCCTACTATTCAGGACTTGTCAGCTGAATATATTTGCATCTGCAGTGAAAAATGGAAGTCCCACTGGAATTCGAACCTATCATTCATTGTATCACACACCAAACTGCCTAAACAAAACTTGATACCCATTGCATTCAAAGATAACTTTGATAACACGGTCACCTTGTGGATACTCTCTTGTCATTTTTTTTGGATTTACAGCTTGATTTCCACATCGTATTTTCAGTACAAGTGTGGAACTTTCAGCATGGATATCGGTTGCCCAAATTCAGGCATACCATAGATATCGGGTGTGCGCCGGCAGGGGTTCGAACCCCGGACCATGTGCATGGTCGGCGAGAGTCCTAACCACTGTGCCACCGACGCAACAATGGATATAAGGGTTTGAGTTCTGATGGAAACACAATCACCCATGACGGATGTAAGGACATCCAGTTGACGAGTCCCATTTTGGACGAAACCAACTTTCTATATCTCGCTGCTAGCGACCGTCAACTGAATTACAGGATTAGTCAAATTGAACGGATAAGGTGAAAGTGATTCGTTAAAAATGACTATCAATCATTGTGCTTATGATAACTTTATTATTCTTGTTATTATGATAAATATCCACAAAGTAATGAGCTTTTCCGTATTTCTATAAAGCTTCCTGAACAGATGTATGATTAATATGGCTTTAAAAGTGATTAATGGTTGTATAAACCGGTAAGTATTAGCATAGATGGGTATATTTATATGTATAGATACATATGTTCAATACGTATTTATAGTTTGGAAATGTGGGGTTTTCATACACTGCTTGAAAATCTTTTTATTCTAAACAGAATACCAATAACCAATATCGTTACACTGGTTACACCCTAATGAGCATTTAATTTCTCTACTTTAGTCATCCTGGAGGTCTGCAGGAGGCTGGATTGCTCAGTGATGACATGTCATACTGCATCACTGAATGACATATATTCAGACCTCTGGAATGAGACCTATGAACATCACTTCCTTCTTGGTTGATAAGCCTCAGTAAGTACAATATCCAAATTCGGGATCAACTTATCAATTACCTCTAGTATCCATTAAAAGCCCACTTTTATGACAACTCAATAAGTTTGACAATAAAGAGTTTGACTAAAACATCAAGTTAATGATATTTACTAAATTCACACAACCCACTAGTCAACTGAAATGTTGAAATCATATATATATCTTCTCCCTTGGATTCCGAGTGGAACACAGGGCTTCAACAAGACATCTTCACTTTTTTCTATTTTCTACTGTCGTTTGCAGCTGGCTAACTCCACGATTGCTTATTATCTCTCATCTCCTCCATGTCACCCTAGGACAACCCAATGGTAGCTTTCAATTTGGATTCCACTCGAGGGCATGGCGTCAGATGTCATTCGGTGGCCTCTCCAGTCTATGCCCAATACATCTCCATTTTTTCCTAGACATTTTAAAGCGATCGGCTCTTGCTTGTTGGTTTGTTCCCATAATTTCATGTTGCTAATTCTTTTTGGCCTACAGACCTTCAGTATGGAGCTAGCGAAGGCAGCCGTTGATAAATACTTGCCGATAAATCTCTCACACTACTCGATTTTAGTTACGGTATCTTTCAGTGTCATTATTATACTGCAGAGTAGAATTTTACGTGTCCTGTTGAATAATGTTCATACCCAGATGTCTCTTAAATTCTACATACTGTGAGGTCTACGAAGGTTTTTTAAACACAATTGTTTCTACAGTACTGTCAATCCCTTTGATTAGGGTGATTTTTAATATTCATACATTATACACGTAACGAATTGCTCACTGACTCACCGAATGCATTTGGTAGCAGACTTTGTTGTTTAACTAGAGCATTGCTTGAACTGAGTACTTCTTTAGGCAAAGCTCGTTTGGCTTCAACCTATAAAAGAAAAAACGTAATTAAAGAATTAAGCACGGGTAAGATAAAGTGCAAAGATGATGCAATTTTTAAAAACATTTCACTGATAAATAAAATGGTTTAGCGTATATGTTTTATTTTTGATTATAGCTTGATTCCACACAGTACTTTTTGGTACAAGTATGGAATTTTCAGCGTGTGATATCGGTAGCCCAAATTTTGCAGGCCGACCATTGGTATCGGGTGTGTGTCGACCGGGATCAAACCCTGGACCAAGTGCATAGTCGGTGAGCTTCCTAACCGCTGTGCCGCCGACGCATGGTATGTACTGTGAATAAATTACATCAAGTACCTTAACGAATTAATTACGCTTCACTGTTATTCACAGTTATTACTTCTAAACTTCTGGTTCAATAATGACATGTATCCAATAGATATGAATTGGAGAAACACAGAGGAGACAATCAAGTAAAGTGACACACCAGACCTTCGAATGGAATCGTAAATGGGAAGCTTTGGGCTTCCTATCCATCGGTGACAAAGAGAAGACTATCTGAAAAATAGGCGAAAGCTGACTGAAAGTGACATCAGAAGACCGACAAGGAATAGAGGCGGCTTAATGAAGCTTTATCCTCCTCCCGGGACGAAAAGAATCCGTAATAATACTGGTCAAACGCTATTGAAATGTGCTTCAAGATTTGCATTTTGCTAGGACACGTGACAGGTATTTTTCGTACGATTATAGAACGCAATATCCAATAATTTAGAGACTGCAGACCTCTTCATCTGTGAAAGACTTCATCGTACACGTCTACGCGAATAATGGTTAGTACTCATATTTAGAAGGATATCATTGCAAAATTGTAAAGTTATTTAGTTTTATAAGACGTTTTATGTTACTCGGAATTCGGCTGCATTTCGCGTCTATTATATAAGGGCTAGTGACACTATCCGACTACCCAAACTTGTTAGGTAGAGCGAAAATTGAACCTGTCACCTACCGGCAGTCAGTCGGGCATCTAGACCAATGAAACACAACTGCACAATCTTATTCGATAAAGATATCTCACTTATTGTTTAAGCTTCTTGATACACTGTGATTAAGTCACTGACTAGGTACCGACAGAGACCTTTTTACTGGAGTGCATCTGTTCAAGTCATCATACTCTATATATCATGCGAAAAAAGAGGAAAGAGGAATTTAAAATAATCTGAGGGCTTAATGGATCAGCGAGAACACAAATAATGAATACATCTAAGACACTGAAAAGAATTTTCAGCCATATCTGTGATAGTTTGCAGCCATTTTCTTTTATTCCTGTAAATTGCAGCATAGGGTTTGAAGTTTCCGTTGGAGCGGTTTTTGTTTTTACGGGATGTGGTTGCTGGCCTCATGCCAAACCTTCCCTCTTTACCAGCCTTATTACTGGCTTAGTGAGATGAAGGAGTGCATCGGTAGCCGGGGATCGAATCCCAAACCACATGCACGGTTGGCGAGCATTCTAACGTTGTACCACTGACTCACATCTCCAACCACTGGTCCCTATTATCCTAAGGATTCCAACCTGGCAGTCTGCAGCTCCCTACGTGTCTACAACCGACTGTCAGGCAGGTCTTGACGTGATCACTCCCAACTCTTTTACGAAAAGTCGTATTTCAGCAAACATTGTTTGTCGAGGAAGGTGATGACTTGACATGCGCAACAGATGTTCCAGCTATTCCCTAGGTGGTTGACCTCCCTTCCTCCTTTCCCGTAGTGGTCTACAGCTAAGCCCACACTATTATACCACCTAACACGAGAGATAAAACTCAAAAATCTGTAGTCGAAGACAATCAACCTTTTCAAAAATCTCCTATTCTCAGTTTCTATGTCTCACAGCCATAAAGAAGGACAAAGAGGACCGCTGCACAGTACACAATTCGTTCAGTTGATAGCCGGATATCGTGTAGGTTTGCCAATCCTATCAGCCAAGATTTTCGTTACCAATCAGTCCATAAAGGCTGATATAACTTCCCTGATGTATAAATCCCTGAGTCGATACGTTTCACCACTTCAGTACTTATCTTCAAGCCAGGTGTCAGTGTAGTCAAATCATGCAGCATCATCTAACACTTAACAGAATCAAATTTCAGCACGTTAATTTACGAAATGACACTAAGAATATTTAGAACACTTTCATAAAATATGCAGCATTTGGAAAAAAAAATTACTTTCAACCCAAAACAGATTATCTTTCTGTTATTTTCTTGCTCACAATAAATACAAAAAAATAGAGAAGACACGATGAGAAGTGCGTTTTTTTGTTTCAGGAAATCATTATCAGAAAAATAAGCCGAATCTCTCTCTGGTGAGACTTACTTACTTAAAGCCTAATCGCATAGATGAATAAATTTGGGAAAAGAATAATTGCCTATTTCCAATAAAATGACAATTCAAACCGACTAATACGACGCATAAAACAAAAACTCGAATTAAGGAGAGAGATTAGTTGTGTGTTTTTTTATTGCTTACAGCCTGCCTAATTAGTATGCATGCAAAATAGTATTTAATAATAAATAATCTTCCATATAAGGGTGTGCAGCAATAATAATAATGATAATAATAATAGTAATGACTTTGCTGATATGCTAATGACTCTGTGTTTTAAGCACGAAAATGAAGTGAATTTATGCAGTTAAAGCTCGGTGACAATTCAAGAAAAAAGAGGAGAATTCCACCTGCATCTTGGAGCTCAAATGGTACAGCTCTGTGGAGGAGTAATTTGGAGGTGACTGATTCGAATCCCACTGTGACCCGGATTTCCCTTTCATCTTCATTCACCACCAGTTATGTCAACGGTAGTCGCATAAATAACGACCAAATCAGGTACTTTCATTATTAATAAACATAATTTCGCCTATTTTACTAAGTCAGTAGTTTAATGGCCGGTCCCAAGCCTGGTTGAAAAGGGAGGTTTATGATTGAGGCTACCGACCTTACTCCACAAGACTAATCAAACTGCTGAAGAAACTAAGATAACCAACTAACAGCAGCAACAGTCAACATCAGCGCCAGAGATATGACAAAGGTTACTTCCTTCACTTATCTAGGAAGCACCGTTTCAACCACTGTAAAAGACTGCCAGCCAGAATCGGAAAAGCAAGATTCACCTTCATCAACCTGTAACCGGTCCGGAAATCTTCTGCACTTCATGGCATAAGGAACAAGATTCGAATTTTTAGTACAAATGTGAAGTCAGTCAACCCTTTTATACGGCTCAGAAAATTGCACTGCGTATCACGAAAAGGATTTCCGACAAATTACAGACTTGTATCAGTAGCTGTGTTCGCTCCATACTGAAGACCAGATAGCAAGCCAGGAAGAATTAGCAACAAGAAGCTCTAGCTGGTTAGCAACAAACCAACAAGCAAGAGCCGGTCGCTCAAGAAATAATTTTTGGAGAAAATATAGATGCATTGATCAGACACCATTGAAGGAGGCTATCGAATGAGATCTGGGTCGGTGCAGGCCATGGACCGGGTGGAATCCCAGTAGGAAACAACGAGTGGATCACCATGGAGGAAATCAGGTGGCGAGGGGGAGATGAGAGATTTTGGGCGATTGTAGGGCCGGCTAAGGACGACATTAGAAAGTAGAATATGGTGGTTATGTGTTTCACTCGGAATAATAATAATAATAATTTGCTTTACTCCAAAACAGTACTTGTGATACAGAATGGAATTCTCAGCATTTTTACCACACTATTGCATCCAGTTAGTACATTATCAATAAATAGAATTCTACATAGATTGAGGAAACCAACAGTTCATTATTACAACAATACATTGGCATGTCAGTAGCAAAGGTAAAGCTGAAACAGTGTTTGAAGGTGTTAGAAAAGTGGGAGCTGTCTTATTAACAGGCGTAAACGAGAGAAAGAGACAAAGCAGCACATAACGGAAAAAGAAGAGAGAGAAAAGGAAAAGAAAGGAAGAAAATGTTGTACCTATTGAGGATGTGGGTTGGAAAGACGAGATCCAGTTGTACTACTGACTATTTAATGAATTATAGGTGTCACGCCTAATGCTTTCTTTATCGCACAGAACACGAGCTGAGTAGGGTATGGTTGAGTTTTTGTACTTGCTGGTGCGAGCATATAGTTTTCTATATTGGCTTCTGGTTTTACCTGATGAGATGCAGGAGGAGAGTTGTGAGTGAAGAGGGTGGTGTGAGTTAGATCAAATGGATTTGGCCCATTTTTCACATGAGTCCATGTGCCTGTCAACCAGAGTATTAACAAGCTGGTTAAGTGGCACGTTGCTTACCCTGCTAACAACATTTAACATCCTGCGTAAAATGTTATAATCTTTCTTCAGTAGCCCAGGAAAAACTAAGGGGGAACAATAGAGAATAATAGGCAGGAACCCAAAAGAGTAATAATATATAATAATAATTAGTGAACAAATATGTTCGAAAAATTGTGTTTTTTCATTTCTTTAATTTCCGAATGGAACACAGGGATTCAAGATTTAGATTTACACTTCCATTTTTTTACAGAGTAGGAGTAGCTAGTTTCACACTCCACCTTCGTTATTTTTACCGGGGCCTGTTGTGGATTGAGCGAGATTCGGGAGTCAGCCAGTCGGAAATCAAACCATTGACCACATGTGTGTTTGGCTAGCATTCTACCACTAAGCAAGTGACGCATACAGTCGTTTCGTCCTAGTTCAGGGAATTTTCATCAGTCCATACCAATTATTTCACGAGAGATATAACCCCTAACCTTCAGCTTACAAGATGAACCTGTTGAAAAATCACTGGTGGCTCTCTAGTTGATGTCAGATCGTACTTGAATTTCAAATCAGTCAAATCCCTGCAAATCAACATCTACAGGAAAAAACTCTAATTCTAGGGAGAACCTGTACACTGGATGCCATTGACATTATATGTCACAAAACAACAGAAGTAAGAATTCATGAGTCTTTGAATTCCCCTTTCACTGGTTTCGCCTCGTAACCAGAATGTCTTTGCTTCGATCTCT